AGACACCTTTTCTCACATGGCTGAAGCCTCAAGCCCCGGCGCACACATCACCTTGGGCTGAAGACCTGAGACCTTCCTCTCCACAGGACTAAGGCCACTATCCCTGCAGGTATGCCCCACGAGGCTGAAGCTCCAAGACCCCCCTCATAATAGGGCTGAAGTCCCAAGCCCTGGCAGGCACATCCCTGCTCTTGAACTTCTGAAGATTATCATATCCAGCTCAAAGAGTCAGTGAGTTTGGTCTCCTCTGGGTCACAGGTCGTGTGGGTAGGTTTTGAGGGCACATAAAAACGAGAGTTCAGAATAAAATAAGGAAGATTACAACTGAAGTGGACAAAAACAACCTTTTAAACCAACAACTAAAAAGCCACCTCTTTCCACTAACCACAGAAACCCCAAATCCCCAGAAAACAAATAGCTTCTTCATTTTATAAGGAAGTTGGCTGACAGTATATTAGCCTTGAGAGCCTAGTTACCTTCTCAATGGTGGGTGTAAGTGCTAGGTTTTTGTAATTTATGTTAAATTATTCTTAGAAAACAATTATCCCCGTATTTGCATATACCCACACTTTTTTCCATAACGGGCTCAATCTATTCCTACTTCTAAATAAACTCATCAATTCTTTAGCAGTAATTGTTCCTAAATTAACTCTCATTAGCACCAGGATAACTATCTCAACTGCTTTCACTCCTTCCTGGATGTGTAAGGAATTTTTTTACAAGAACACTAAGCTAAATTTTCTGTAGCTCAGCTAAAATTAAATATATGAAAAATACCATTCTAGAGATACACATTCAAATTTCAAGAGATGAAAAAATTATGAACATGACAAAACTCAATTCAAATGTCATACAAGGATTCTTATAGACCTCTTTCCATAGTATCCCATATAAAAGTGCAGAGTTTGCACGCCAATGTAAGAATTAGAGCGATTTACACATCGATTATAATTTACATTAAAAGACTTGTGATTTGGGATCACATCACAAATCTGCAGGACACCTTCAAAGAAAATTTTATGATCCTGATTCATCAAACAATGCTCAATGTTGAAAAATAGCCAAGGGATACTTTATGTTTAATTGGAGGAAAGGGGGCAGAAGATGAGGGGAGAGGAACAAACAAACCTGCATTAAAGACTATGCCAAACTCAGGGATACATTAGAGTGATCAAGTCATATAATATAAGGCTGCAAGGAAAGAGCATTAGAGCATGTCTCAAAGGTTGAGCAAGTTATTAATAGATATTACCTATATGCAAACCAGTATAACTAGACTATACTACACAAGGGAACACAATTGAACCATTATTCTTCCACCATGCCCTTCCCTTTTACAATAACGACAAACATTAACTTGGCATATACAATCACCTTGGTTATCATAGTCTCAGGAGAACAATGTCATTAATGTTTTCATCTGCCTTTTACAGGATTCATAAGGATGTTTTGTAGCTTAACTAGTTGACTTTTTAGTATATTTAAATTTGTTAGAGTATCTCACCCCTCACAGCCCGGCTAAAATGACTCATCAAATACAACAATTATGTGGACATAGCATTAAAGCTGTGATGTAAAATGACAAATCCCAGAAACTGACATTTGTTCTGAAGTTACAGCATAATGATATGAAAAAAACTATGTTAGTCAACATGTTGGTCTTTCAGGACTACTGTCAGTCTGAAACAAGTCAGTTCTGCCAAAGTGAACTATTTTCATGTTGGTGAGGTTAACTTACTCCTGAGCCACCTGCCTGTTTTTTTAATTGTACATTGTTGATTTCTCTTAATGTTTTGCTCACCTGCTGTTTGGAAAGATTCCCACAGAGAACAGAGTGTGCATATACTCCATAAGGATATACAGGCTAGGGTTGTGTGAGAGGGCTCAGTGCTCCCTGTTAACTATAATCTGTAGGAAGGAAGCAGCTGAGGGAAAAAACCCAAAACAAACAAACAAACAAAAATCCCAACAGCCTCCACTGTTCTCTGAGGTTCTCAGGTCCTCATCACCCTCTTACTCTTTGCTTCTTTTCCTTGGCTTTGGCATAAAAAGATGGGAGCCTTCTGCTTCCCACCAGATGTGTTTGACTCTTGTTTTGCCACCAATGCAGAGGCAAGCCAACTTCTCTAATATTTTCTGGTATGGTGGCAATTTTGGATGAGCAGATTATTTGAGTGGAGATTCTCTAGCATTTTTCTTGTCATCTGTCATTTCTGACACTACCTGGTTGACATCAGCAAAAGCCTTTTCTTCACAGAATTGCACCTTAGCTCTGCTGTCAAAATCCGCATTCTTTGTTGCCTAGACACTAATCACTTTCTTATTATATCAGCAATAAAATGCATCACTGGAAAATGGCTGGCTGGCTGATTGAAAGAAAAACTTCAAAGTTGTAGTTATAGCCGAATTAATGTCAATTCATCTACTGAATGATCCCCACTAAAATTCATTTACTAATTATTTTCTCCCCTCGGAAATCCTCCTGGCACTTTCTACTCTTCTGACCATCTCCCAGAATGAATCATTCTCCAGTATCATTGATCCCTAGTTTCAGTGAAGCTCCTGATTTCTCCTGATTTTGGCAATGTTGGAGAACATTTAGCTGTTTCAGTGAAGCAGGGCATGTAGAGGGGAATTCCCAAATGGAACCAATTTTTAAGTAGTATGTTATTAACAAGAGGCTGGTTAGTGGGTGCATACGGCATGTTTTTCAAGGCATAAGCCTTGTTGCAATTTGCCTTAGAAAGAATTATGGTCCAGTCTTTGCAACAACTTCCACTCACCTTCCTATTGTGCAAGAATACAAAATAAAAAGACACTCATTCTTAACAATATTCTGCCCCCTAGGTAGCAGGATCCTTTGGTGCATCAGCTGGTGGGGATCCTACACCAAATTCTCATTCCAGTCTCTGGCACAGAGGTCATGGCCAGAGCATGGAGGCTGCTGATAGCTGGCATGGATAAGACTAGTCTTCAGGGGGCTTTTAATTACAACAGAGGCTGGTCTAGTGCTGGGGCAATCCCATGGTTAGGGGAAATGCTAAGATGGCACTGTGCTCTCGCTCAGTTGCACCAGTAAAGGGTATAAGTCATAAGTAATGCGAGGGGGATGAAGGTTGGAGGAGGGTTTAACTTTTTACAGGTTTACTGAAAGAATACCAGCAAAGCCCTGCAGATCCACAGATATTCACTTTATATATCCATGGGAATTCGCATCTGTGGATGTGAATGCAGATATACGCATTTCATTTTTGCAGATACATATCTGAACGTGAATATAAAATTTATATCTGTGCAGGGCTCCAAATATCAGGTCTGTTCAATTATTAAATCTCCCTTTTTATTGTACCAAAAGAGTAATCACCATTGCTCTTCATATCAAAAAACCTTATCCATATAGCTATATGACAATGGACATTATTAACATATTATTGTTATGGCAACACAATATTTACCTTGCCGACAGCATTTCTGGTATTCCCCACATTAAGAACGGGAAATGCAATAAATACTGCAATACATTTATGAACTGTTAGCAGTACAGCATCCAGGTTTAATGGCACCAACTGATTTGAAACTTAGACACACTCTAGAAACATACATATAAATGTTTCACTCGTATATCATTTAATTGCACAATTAAGTCAAATAAAATAAAAATTATGCTATTTTTTTGCTGATGGGGCCAGAAGAGAGTCCACGTGGTTAGAAGGGAAGTAGCGGTGATAAACCAGGATTAGTATTAACCAAAGATTAGTGCAATCAAAATATAGAGGGAGGTAGTGCTCTATTTGTCCTTGACTAAAAAGAAATATTAAAGGAAAACTGAAAAATTGCAATCATTTTATAGAACGCTCTTTACTTGTTCTATAGTACACCTGAGATTATTATTCACTTTGAGTTTGGATGCCGATATTCAATTTCATTTTTGTTTATATGCACTGTTATAACCATGTTGGGCTCAAGGTATTAGAGAGACAAGGTGGGGGAGGAAAGATCTTTTAATGGATCATCTTGTGTTGGTGGGAGACTTTAAAAAGCTCTTCATAAACTCAAAAGCTTGTCTCTCACCAACAAAAGTTGGTCCAATAAAATATATCTCCCTCACCTTGTCACATTTGTTTATAGTCCATTTCATTTCTATATGCTCAATATAGCAAAGTTTGGGTTGAAGAAAATTATTTTATGTAAAACCAACTGTCAAATTTGAGGGCAAATTTTATATCATGTAACACTTTGTTGGGGTGCCCAAATCTGTAACTCATCATGTTACCCCCCTGGCTCAGTGAGAGAGAGAGAGAGAGAGAGAGAGAAAGAGAGACACTCACTCTTCCCGGTGATAAAATGGGTGTCAGCTCCCTGACACTAGCCTGTTGGCTACCTCCTCTGGTTTATACCTGCCTTCAGTTTGCCTTGCAGATTAATGAATAATGTACCCCAGTTTCCAAGCTCCTCTGACGAATCCCCCTGTAGTGCCCAGCCCCGACTCACTCACACACACACACACACACACACACACACACACACACACACACACGCGTACATCTCAGGGTCAAGTCTTTTAAAACATCACAGCATGAAAATAGAGTTATAATGAAATAGATCCTCATCTTTGAGAACGAATCTAAGAGATACAGAGTCAGCAGAATGGAAACAAAAATGATTACATATAAAACAAAAGCGTGACCTGTTTCTTCGAGGCCAAAGCAGGCTAAATTCCTTGTCCACAGCAGTTTCTCACCTGTCAGCAGTGGTTCCCAACCTGTGGTCCTAC